CCAGTGCGAGCCCTGCTTGGCCGAGAAGCTCAGGCCCTCGAAGGCCAGGCGCGACTGCTCCAGCGATTGCGTGGCCCAGCGCGCAGGCCAGTCGGCCGGGTCGCCGGTGTTGTCGCGCACCTGGCGGGCCTGCGCCAGCCAGGCGGCATCCACGCGCTGCGGCTTGAACTTGTCGGGCACGCCGTCCCACAGCGTGTGCAGCTTCGGCGGGCCGAAGCCGGCCGTGACGGGCGGGTTGGGCCCCGAGGCGGGGACGGGAGGTTTCGGTGCGCCCACCACCCACAGGCTGTTGCCCCCCACGGTGAAGCTGGCCACGTCCAGCCCTGTCTTGTCGGGGTCCAGGCGCTGGCCCTTCGGGTCCAGGTAGAGCGAGCCGACATGCAGCGGCTGGTGCAGGTCGCCTACCAGATGGACGAGCACGATCAGGGCCTCGCGCTTGCTCTTGAAGTGCGGCGGCCCCTCGGGCGGCTTGCCCTGCAGCACCAGGATGGCCGTTCGGAGCGCGCCGGCCACGTCGTCAGCCCGCGTGCCGACGAAGCCCAGCACATAACGGCTGCGCTGCACGGTGACGTCGGCATAGTGCGTCTGGCGGTGGCAGCTGTCCTCGTCCATGCCGATCTTGCACTGCTTGTCATTGCGCCGCACGTAGTCGGCCATCTCGGCCAGGCGCGCGGGCGTCTCCAGCGGCGCGCACTCGGCGTACTTGCCGGGCGACGGGGTAGGTGTAGTTCTGCGCCGGCGACACGCCCTTGGCGCAGTCGGCCCAGAGGCTGGCCAGTGGCAGCGACAGGTCGCCCAGCAGCGCACCGACACGCGCCTCGGTGGGCGTGCCCTTGAGGAGGCCGGCCGCGATGGTGGCGACGGTCTGGTGGCCGTCGGCGCCCCAGGCGTGGGCGGCCAATGGGGCCGCGAGCAGGGCACAGGCAAGGGCTTGGCGCATGGTCAATCCGTCAGTCGATCAAGGACGCGATCTTGCCCGGTTGGAAATGCAGGTCAATGAAATCCGCCAACCCGTCGAACACTGCTTCCAGCGGCCGGCCCGCCTGGCCGAACAGCGCCTGCAGCACGGCCGGCTGCTCGAACAGGCCGTGCGCGTAGACGCCGAGCACA